ATAACTCAAAAAGTACTTAATGAAAAATTATTTTATTATAGTGTTTTGAAAAGCTCTCGAGATAAGCTACAAGAATATGCAATAAAAAATGGGGAGTTTCATTTAAGAAAATATCGATCACATTGATTTGGCCTTGAAAAGGTCACTCAAGGTCAAGTCCATATTTTCATCATGTGTCCGCCTCTGAACCGTACAACTTTTGTATAAAATATTTTTTTCCATCTTATTTACTTTACGAGATATTTGCGTGCGTTGATTAAAATGACTCACCCTGTATGTTTTCCTGCAATAAATAGAGAAATAATGACTGAGTATCGTTTGAACACGTCTCGATTGAACACAATCGAATACGATTTATATATGAAAAATCCTAATAAATACCGGTCACTATCTGCCAATCGATAACATGAAAAGATTAGAAAAAGTATAAGTTAAATAAAAAAGTTCTTAAATAAAATTTTTTGTAAACTTGATTTATAGCAAAGAGTAAAGTTACCCCCCGCCCCTTTTAGAGGGGTAGCGGGGGCAATTTTATGTTTACGTAGTTAGAAAGGCCCCTCGAAAATATGAAACTTTATCCTAAACAATTTTTTGATTTGACAAATATTTTTAGAGTTATTAGCTTGTAACACTTTACGTGGGCGGGTGTAGTTCCGAAAAGTACTCATCTCCGATTTTTTTGAAACTCAGTATTCTTATGTATTTTGATGCGCTGATTACGAATATCATAGTGAAAATTGGCGACTATTTGATTTTCATGGTGAAAACCATGAAAAACCCATAAAAATTATAGTTTTTTTACGCTTATCTCAGTAAATACGGAACATCATGATAAATGTTTTAAACAAAAGTTTTAGACTTCACAGAAAAATTATAGTTTTTTACGCTTATCTCAGTAAATACGGAAAATCATGATAAATGTTTTAGACAAAAGTTTTAGATCTCACAGAGATAAACATTTTATGTCCTATTCATTTTTACCGTACGAGTGATAGTTTTCGACAAAAACGATGGACTCTAAATCTTATATCTGTCCTTCCATCTAAGCATGTACTTTGCAGTATATATACGATTCCACATGGGTTTGCAACTTTCCACGCAAAGCGAGGGGGGTACACAGTGTTGTGAGACGGGCCGGGTTTTCTCGCGCATGCGCGGCCATGATAACCATTAGCAACGACGTATCTATCTGCAGTAATAACAAGATTATGCTATGGGCGCGAAAGTCTTGGCGGGCGGACGAAAACAGGTTAGCTACAAGTTTTTGGTAAGTTAATATTAACACTTTACGTGGGCGGGTGTAGTTCCGAAAAGTACTCATCTCCGATTTTTTTGAAACTCAGTATTCTTATGTATTTTGATGCGCTGATTACGAATATCATAGTGAAAATTGGCGACTATTTGATTTTCATGGTGAAAACCATGAAAAACCCATAAAAATTATAGTTTTTTTACGCTTATCTCAGTAAATACGGAACATCATGATAAATGTTTTAAACAAAAGTTTTAGACTGATACACTTATTATTCTATATAAAAAACTAAATAGTTTTCTCCACAACAATTTCTTTTCTTTAAGTTTTTATACAGCAAAAGACAAAAAAATAACAAAAAAATTTTTTTTAAATTTAAAAAAAAATCTAAAAATAAAACAAAAAAATTTTTTTAAAAATCTAAAAAATAAAACAAAAAAATTAAAAAACAAAAAGATACAAACAACTACAAACGATTCTAAAACGAATGGCGAAAGCGGATTTGAGATATCTTTAAAATTGACAAAGTTACGTTATTTGTTTATCGCAAATACGTTGTAACTTTTAAACTATTCAACTACAAACGAAAGCAAAATCACTACAAACAACTACAAACAATTCTAGAACGAATGGCCAAAGCGGATTTGAGATATCTTTAAAATTGACAAAGTTACGTTATTTGTTTATTGCAAATATGTTGTAACTATTAAACTAGTCAACTATAAACGAAAGCAAAATCACTACAAGCAACTACAAACGATTCTAAAACGAATGGCGAAAGCGGATTTGAGATATCTTAAAGTCAGGTGACAGTCATTTAAAAAAAATTTTTTATTTATTTATGGATCAAACTACAAACGAAAATATTTTTACTACAAACAACTACAAACGAAATACTATCATTTTCTGTATTGAAAACTTTATTTATTAAAAGAGGGGTGCCAACTTCACATAGGTCCAACTAACAGATTTTGTAAAACCCTACTATGTTTGTTTCAAACATTTTTCAAAAAAATCAATACCTTCCGAGATTTGACTATTCGGCAGTCCGAATTTTTCATGTTTGATTGGTTATAACTCGATAACTGTCCATTATTGAGCTTTGTGCCCATTACATCTTTTGTTCAGTAGGTCATAAGCTACAACATATGTAAAAACCAATTGATTTGACCGGGACAGATTTTCCATATGATTAGTGCGGGGTTCTTTACTTTGTTTTTCGTCGACTGATGAAACCTCAGAGGCTCTTAAAGTTTTTCTTAACAGAGTCAATTTATTTCTGTGTTTATCTATTAATTTTCCTCTAGATACTTCTGGTTTATGATAACATGATTTATTTTTTCCAATAGGGCTAACATAATATGTAGATCTTTTTTCACATTCAAAAATTTCAACTATTTTGTCAGCTAGAATGCTTATCGTTGAATTATTTAATCGTTTTCCTTCATTTAAAAAATGGCATATTATAATGTTACACAAATGATTGCGATCTCTGTTGTCAATACATTTTGTTTTTTCATATTTTAGTAATATAACTCTTCCTACAATATGACTGTTTAAGAGATTTCTTAAATCAAAATTTATAACATCATGTGTTTTTAATACAATATCAGCCATATTAATATTTGTTATTTTCTTTTCAATGGTATTATAAATATCTAACGTTTCATTAGAAGAAGATGAAGAAGCTGTTAAAGTACTATCAGATTCTACTGAAAATGACAGTCTTGGTTTTTTTGTAGAAGGTTCTAGTTCTGTATAAAAGTTCTGTTCTACTTCTAGTTCTGAAGTTTCTAGTTCAATAATTTCAATATTTTTTGAAGACATCTGAAAATTAAATTATGATGTAAATATTTAAGAAAACAGAATTATATTTTAAAATAATATTTATCTGAAGCATTTAAAATGGAATACTTTATAATAAAAATAAAAAATTATTTCAATATAATATAGCTATTATAAAGTTATTATTATAAAAATTATGAAAATTTTTTATAATTAATTTTTATTATTTTTAATAAAAACTATACAAATATTATTTGTAAACTTTTGTAAATATGTAGTAAAATAACAATAATCTTAAGTTTATTTGAGCAACGGTATTCATAATAAAAAACGAACAAGTACAAAATGTGTATTTACCATTATATTTTCACATGGCAATGTGGAAGAATCTTTTTGTAAAGCCGTATGAAATGTTTTCCTTTCATCCAAAAAAGGAATTAATTCCTTAAGTTCCCCATCTGTTATCATATGTAAAAGACCTATGTCATCTATTTTGTGTTCTAAAATAAAAAATAAATATAAAGAACATTAAAATACAAGATATCTATATCAGATTATGTGTGGCGCATATTGTTGTATATAACAAATAAAACATGATATAATGGAATCAGCAATGGAAAAATAGTGGAAAAATTGAAATAATGGGTGCTTTCCAGCAAAATACACTGTGTTACACAAAAGCATTTTATTGGCTACATATTATCTTAGAAGATGCTTTCGATAATATATAGCCAATAAAATGCTGTTGTGTAACACAGTGTATGTTGCTGGAAAGCACCCAATGTAAAATATTAAAAATGTACAGCGAGAGTATAGAGCGTGGCTGAGTAGCAGTCTCACAAACTGCATATGAGATAACGAATATATTTAAGATGGTTTTGGTGATCGTATTTTTATAACATTATAATTCAGGAAATACATATAATAATAATTATAAAGTACTTACTGGCAAATGTTGAAGACAAATGCGCTAAGCCGCAAGTTTCTAAAAATGATGCAACAGTCTCAAAGTCAGACATATTTTTTTCTTTACACTCACTGCTTCTACTTTTTAAGAAATGATACCAGATAGGAAGAATGTTAACCACGGATAAATATAAATATGATAATCGATAAACAAATTAATTCAGAGCTGCATGACTTTATACTACGCACGACTTTATAGTTTATACCACGCACATCACTGCTCGAACAATAAGTGCCGGGCTACAGCCCGTGTTGCCAGATTGCAGACGTGGCGGCTACAGCCCGGACATGCGAGCGCAAGTTTCGGCTTTCGACCTATCAGAGAACCGAATTGTCGCGAGACCGCGAGGAACCAATTAAGGGCGCGTTTCACTTCACGACCGCAACGCTCACGGTATCATTTCATCTTTGTTGTTCACCGAAAGTTAAACAAAGACAGATGATGCTCGCGAACGTTGCGGTCGTTAAGTGGAACGTACCCTAGGTGCTGATACTGGATGAGACAAAGAAACAGAGGAATGTCTTACTGTCGCAATACATGTACATTTTTTCTGGAATTACTTTGCATTACGTCGTATTTGCATTGATTATAGTTAGAATTTATGTAATTCCAAGCAACAAGTTAATTTAAAAAAATATTGTTGTTATTTGAATGCAACATATTTCATCATTTTTATGTAAATAAATATTTTGTTTCATTAAACAATATATTAATGTATATTTAGTGTAATGAAACAAATATTATTTGGTTGAAAAGCATTATTTCAAATAATAGTCATTTTTCCGTCAAACAATATGGTTTAATACAACGAAACTACTAAATTTTTATTCAACAAAATAATGTTTCATATGTAAAAGTGTACCAAAACCTGTGAAATATATTAATTTATACCTAACGTCCGGGAGTGTCTTATTTCGAGCGTGGGTCTTAATCCTTTGGGCGTATAAATCCCTAAAGACCTCTTCCTTAGCGGCTAGAGGCACAACAGTATAAAATTATGTTTTTGTAATGATACAAATATAAGTCAAACAAATAAATATATTAATTCTAAAGAAACCTTTTTCTCTGTGTATAATATCGAAAGCGTGAGAAATCATTTAATATACGAAGAAGAGAGACAGAAACAGTATATCTGTCCTCTTCTGCTATCCGAAGCTAGCCGAAGCACCGAGCTCACACGTACGCGGTTTGCGCTTGTGTGTGTTATCCCCTCCAGCTCGGTTGCATGTTGCTCGCGTCTCAATTCTGGCATCACTGATGGGAGGTTTAATCCAGCCTTTCTTAGTCGTGAATATCCACTTGCGGAATAGTAAAACATTTGTTTCGCTAAATCTTTTTCTTCTTTTGTATATTTTTTAGTCCCCTTATGTAGTTGAAGTTTTATCATAGTTTTCGGAACTGGTTTTAGACATTTTTTTTCATTTAAAAATTGGTTTACATTATGTTTGCAAATGTCCTTTTTTTCGAGCTTCAATATTGCGACCTTTCAATATTGCAGTTATATTTTATTGTTGTCTCGTCTTTTGCATTAGAAGCTTTTTTAATTTTAAATTTTCTTTTTTTAATTTTTCCATTTCACATAATTCGTCTTCATTATATATTTTTTTAGGAACACGCTTTTTTCGTTTTTTCTATTCGCTTTTTCGGCATATTTGCTTCCATTTCTTTCTGTGAGTAATTACCCCAAAAAAGTGGAGGTGGATTTTTATTATTAAACCACTCATCGTCTGCGATGTCATCTCCGAAATTGTAGAAAAGTTCTTTTCCGGAAGGGTAACATCTCTTAGGTGTTACGTTGCTTATTGTGGCTACTTCGCAATTTGTTTTTCTTGGCCTCTGCAACGTCTACTTGAAAATCATTACGACTTTCGATTTCCATTGGAATACGGTCTTGATTATCTAATTGTGAGTCAACATTATCTTGTACAATATTTTCCATTGTTTTGTTTACTTCTATAATTTTTTCAGCGTTATCGTTGATAAAATGTGAAATTTCAATATCCTTTGGGCTCCATGGTATGGGATTTTTTCTAATATGTAATTTTGTAGGGTTCTTGAAGTCTTCTTTATTAAAATGGTCTGCACATAAGCCTGCCTTCTGTATTGATGCCGCGGACCACTTGAATAACTTTTCATTACCTGTTTACATATAAATCTATAGTTTATACACTGAAAAATATATCATGCATTTTAATTACACCAAGTAGCAAATAAATATAAGTAAAAATATCTTTTGAAAATTTGGAAAGCATTTTTAAAAATATTAACAAGAAGAATGTCAAACGTGTCCCTCACCAATTCAAACGGCAATTTTTTTTATGTGTGGTTCTCAATAAATAACAGCTCATGTTAAAACGAGAGCGTATACTTCTCAAGCATTCGTCGAAAAAAATGCTAAAGTTGTTCTAGCGAATCTTAAGACGTTGCGATGAATAATTATCGAAGCGAGCGAGTGGATCTGTTGGTAGAGCTCTTATCTTGTAAACGCAAGATCGCGGGATCGAATCTCGTTGTGTGACAATTTTTTTTCTCTTATTTTTTATCATTTTTTCTTTTTTTTGTTTCCAGCAACATTTTAGCATTATTAAATAAATATTACGTGAATTTTGTTAATAATATTAATTTTTAACATTTTGTTTTATTTTATTATTTTAAAGAAAATTCGTCGACGAAAAGTGATTTCACATCAGTGTCGACAAATTTCCTTTAAAATATATAATAAAATGAAATAAAATGTTAAAAATTAAATATAATTAATAAAACTCGCGTAATATTTATTTATTAATGCTGTTATGCCTCCGGAGAGGCACGGTAGTTAGGATCGTTTGCCGGAAGGAATTTGGGAA